TGGCAAGTGGTTTGGTTTTTTGTTTTTTGATGTGTATCTGAAGCTTTGGAAAATAATTTGCAGACATCCTGACAGGTTAGCCCCAAAATTACCACAGCAAGCATGTTCTAAAAATAACAACAGTCTCTACATAGCCAGCAGGCTGTCATCACACCTAAGAACATAAACGTTGTTGTTAACTTCATCTGCTACACAGTCTATATTCAGATTTTTCCAAATTCAGACCTGAGTTTGTGCAGCCCCAAAGCCCGTGCGCACGTGCGCCGGGTACATAGTAAGTGCTCAGTAAAGGGTCATTCCTTTTCTTTCTGGCACTGTCCGCTGGCCAGTGACCCCCTCTCTGAGTCAGACAGCAGAAAGAATGAATGTTCGTGGCCTGGGATCTCCAGGGACACGACTTTGCTCCCCTTGTTGGTTCCGAAGCCCACTCTCTCAGCCTCAGTAACATCCCCTGCCCCTTAGTCCACAGGAAACGTGTGGATGACTCACGAGGAGATGGAGTCACTCACGGCCACCACCAAGCCTGTGAGTGGCCCCTGCCGGCAGCCTTGGGGTAGCACTAACTCTCCCCAGGGGGGGGTTGGGGGCGGAGACCGAGTCTGCAGCAGTCTGTCTGTCCGTCTGTCCCTCTCACCCTCCTCTGCCTGCCCCGTAACCCGCCCCTTCTCTCCCCTCTTCCCACTAACGGGTCAGGAGACCAAGGAGATCAGCTGGGAGCAGGTAGGGGGCGCGGGGCGGGGCGTGGGCGCATGAACAGGTTGTGCACGGTGCATGGACGCCCCTCCTCCTCCGAGCCCCGTCCCTTTCCTCGCCACAACATTCCGTCATCACTTCTGGGGGCGCCGCGGCTCTGTCCTCTTGTAGCTTTGCGCGCGCGCGTGTGTGTATGTGTGTGTGTGGTTGTGTGTATTAGGCTGGACTGTTTCATTACTAGCGTGGTGCACGGGCCATTCATTACGGTGGGAGGCCGGGCTCTATCTAGGTGTTGTTCCACTGCCGTCACTAGAGGGAGACACTGAGCAACCTGTTTTCTTTATGGCTGAGGGGAAATGAGTGTCTGTTCTAATGTATGAAGCAAACGGGACTAAGCACTTCCGGCTGAGAAGCTGGGGGAGTGCTACTTTGTTGTGATGAAGGCGAAGGTGGAGGCACGGCCTCACCTGACCTGAAGCAACTGTGTTGCACAGTGGTCTTTGGTTGGACCCAAAGGGAGGAGTGAATTACCTCCTTATCCTGAGGGAGCGAAGGGCTCTGAAGTCTAGAATATTCTCCTGAGCCGGATATAGCATTAAACTAGCATTCTCCCGACATTGCAAATGGTGCAAAAGGATCACTTTTCCTTTGGGGGAGATCTAAGTTGGAAGAATCCACTGTTCTGACGGGGGAGTAGCGCTTTGGACAGAGGGGCCGTTCTGAGTTGGCACCCTGCTGGGCCAGTGTCTCAAACTTTAACGTACAGTTCGTATCACCTGCACATCTTGTGGAAATGCAGAGAGCTTGATTCAGTAGGTCTGGGATGAGGCTGGGATTCTGTAATTCCAGCGAGTTCACAGGTGATGGTAAATTACGGATTCGAGGACCACTTGGAGTAGCCAAAATGGGATTGGCTCATTGTCCTAAGCAGAGATTGGTTCATGATTCTGCTGTGGGTGGGGAAAGACACTTGGGTTGGGGGTGGTTGGACTGTACCCCTTCTGTGTCGACATGGGAGTCAGAGGCCTGACCCCTTCCTCACCTGCCCACGGCCCCAGATCCTGGCATATGGCGACATGAACCACGAGTGGGTGGGGAACGACTGGCTGCCCAGCCTGGGGCTGCCTCAGTACCGCAGCTACTTCATGGAATCGCTTGTGGATGCCCGCATGCTGGATCACCTTAACAAGAAGGAACTCCGAGGCCAGCTCAAGATGGTGGACAGCTTCCACAGGTGGGGGCTGCCTGGCCAATGGGAATAGCGCAGGGGGAAGCCCCACCCCTAGAGCGTCTTTGGCCAGTGGGGCTGACGGATGGGAAATTCCTTGGATTATCCTTGGCCCTTTTAGCCTGGGCTCTCAGGAAATCCTGCCTCTTGTGTCCCTAACACCAATAACGATGATCCATTAGGAAAAATTCACGTCCTGGGAGAGCTTGGCTAATTGACCCTGCACCCTCTCTAGGTTAGCCAATAGGAACTGCCTGTTGCAAATGCCCCACCTCCTGGGAGGGTCAACAGCAATAGAACTGAGCCAATGGAAGAACTCCCCAAGCTCTCCCAGAAGAACACAGCCAATGCCTGAGGGCCTAATAGGAGAGGCAACCAGCAGGGTTGTGAAGGCCCCTCTGTGACTCCACTTCCCCTGCTGCCCAGGGTGAGTCTGCATTATGGGATCATGTGCCTGAAACGGCTCAACTATGACCGGAAGGACCTGGAGCGGAGGCGGGAGGAGAGTCAGACCCAGATTCGAGGTAAGCCTCCTTTGTGGGAGCCTCGAGGAAAGTTTTGGGGCGGGGTGTTTGAGGAGGGACATACTAGAGGTGGGATGGGTGGCCGCGGAACAGCTGCACTACAAATGGTGGGTGGAGCTGCTCTACAAATGCTGGGCAGAAGGGGCGTGGCTAACAATGGGTGGAGCCGGTAGAAGGGGCGTGGCTAGCAAAGCAGAGATGAGTACCTATCGTTGAGGTACGGCCTGGCTACGGGAGGGGCGCGGCTGAGGGTCCCTTCCATTCCCAGACGTGATGGTGTGGTCCAACGAGCGGGTCATGGGTTGGGTGTCCGGGCTGGGCCTGAAAGAATTCGCCACGAACCTCACGGAAAGCGGGGTGCACGGGGCGCTGCTCGCCCTGGACGAGACCTTCGACTACTCCGACCTAGCCTTGCTCCTGCAAATCCCCACGCAGAACGCGCAGGTGAGCTGCCGCTCGGCCCGGAGCATGCTGGGCAAACCCCAACTCGCAGACTGTGCTCTCTTAACTCCTCCCATCTCCCCCGCCTCCAGGCCCGGCAGCTCCTTGAGAAAGAATTCAGCAACCTCATCTCCTTGGGCACAGACAGGCGGCTGGACGAGGTGGGCGTGGCCGCGTCTCTGGAGGTGTCGCCGGAACTGAAATGGGGCTTGATTGGCCGACTCGTGTTGGCGCTTAAGGAGAGGGGCGGGATTAAGGGAGAGGCGTGACTCGGAAAGGGGCGGAGCGAGAGGGAGGGGCGGAGCGAGAGCAGGGTCCAGTTCCCTTACCGGCTGCCTGACCCCTGTACCTAGGACAGCTCCAAGTCCTTCAGCCGGTCCCCATCTTGGCGGAAGATGTTCCGGGAGAAAGACCTCCGAGGCGTAACACCCGACTCGGCTGAGATGTTGCCCCCCAACTTCCGTTCGGCCGCAGCAGGGGCCTTGGGCTCTCCAGGGCTCCCTCTCCGCAAGCTGCAGCCGGAAGGTGGGGGGACTCCCCAAATGGAACAGTCCCCCTAGCCCTCCCCTCCCCCAGGGTGGGAAACATATCACCCCAGCATTCCGGAAACCTCCTTTTCCAGATTTTGAAATGGCCTAATTCTGTCCCCCGCCTATGCTAAATGGACCGTTCCAATATTCCGGATTCCCCTACGCACCCTTCCAAGGGTGGGAACTGAGCTCGCCCAGTGCAACCTGAGTTGCTTGGACGAATCCATGGCTGCGGGGGAGGGAGGGAAACCGTCGTGGACTGACCATCGTCAGGGAAATAGATAGGCTCACTCCTGAGGTAGAGGCAAGCTCTTTGAAGAGGAACTCTGAGGAGGGACTAGGGGGCAAGGTGTTCCAGCTGAACCACTGCTCGCTCTCCCTTCAGGCCAGACTTCCGGGAGTTCCCGGGCAGACGGCGTCTCAGTCCGGACCTATTCCTGCTAGTGTAGGCCTCCAGGCAAGTACTGGACTGGGCAGCCCTGGGGGTGCGGGGCGGCACAGTGCTCCACGCACCGCGTCACTGCCCTTCGCCCTAATTGGCGTCAGTACAGGTGACCCCACTCGGATGGAAGAGCCTTCAGAGGCTGGGCCGTTCCCCCTCCGGCCTGGAGAATGGTCTCGCCTGGGAGAGCAGGCGTGGGAGCGCCCTCTGCGGACAGGACCATCTGTACAGACAAGTGGTGGAGCGCCTCCCCGCCTCACAAATGGACTGGGCCTGGACCAAACCACATGAACTGGACTGAGGGGGGGAAGGAACAGGGCAGGAGGAAATCCCACCGCACACTTCCGCCTCCCTTTTCTCTACTTTGTAATTTATTGATCAGTTTCCGATGGGAGACGGGTGCCCTTTCCCCGCGGGAAGGGGGCAGGGCTTCCCTCCCGTGCCGCATGCCAGGAGAGGCTGCCCTACCTCCCTTTTTTCCTACCCAGTCGCGGGGCCCAAGTCTTCCTTCTTCGTCCGAAAGGAGGGGAGGGGAGACTCGCTGCTACAAGCCCCGCCTCCTGTGCCACTCGGCCCCGTCTCGCCCCGCCGCGTCGAGGGGCGCGGCGCCGCGCCCCGGGGTCAGCTGCGGGCGAGGTCCCCTCTCCCTCCCCCGTGTCTCGTGTCCCCGGGGCCCTCCCCCGTCCCCCGTGCTGTGGCCGTGTCCGTGCCCCGGGGGAAGGGGACGTAGACTTGTGTTCCCCGTTCCCCTCCGGCTCCGGGGTTTGCATGGGAGAATCCTCTTTCCAAGATGCCACTGGGCGACATGGCATGGGGGAAGGGGGGGATGGTGGGGGAGCCTCACCCCCGACCTCCGATCGGCCTCCGTGCCCCAGGCGTCACTCAGTGATCACGGGTAAAGAGAACTGTTTCAAAAAGCCCCTGTGTTGACTGATTTATTTGGCAGGACAATTAAGCCATTAACCCATCCATCGCGAGGACTCAGGAGTCCAGGTCCCCAGTTCCCACCCGGCTTCCCTGATGCCTTCAGAATCCAGACCCCTCGCCTAATAGGTTTCGAGGAGCACGTTTATTCAGAGAAATAAATAGGACTTTGGAAAGGGGTTATTGGGCCGGGGAGGTGTGTCTGCACCGCGCCAGGGTCAGGGTTCCGGAGTTTCCAGCAGGTCCGCCACGGCTCTGGAGGAGGCATAGAGGTTTGTTGTTATGTCCCGTCAAGTCGGACCCGACTCATAGCGACCCCTCCTTGGGTTTCCGAGGCAGTTATCACTACGGGAGTAGATTGCCCAGCCTTCCTTCCGAGGAGTGGCTGGTGGGTTTGAACCTCCAGCCTTCTGGTTAGCAGTCAAGTGCCTTAGACACTATGCTACCAGAGCTCCTAGGCACAGAGGTTTAGACAAGCAAAGTGTCCCAAGCTAACCTGGGGCTCTTGGAGACCAGTAACCCTCCCGTTTTACAGGTAGAGTTACAGAATCGCCCAGTAACAGACGTCTTAGAGTTCAGACTGTTTCCTGTGCCTAAGCGCCTTAAACTGCCCCGGTTTACACACTTACTGGTACAAGGACGAGGAGAAATAGTCCACGTAGCTTCCTAAGGGGGAGAGAAGAGAGAAGAGGTTTGCGGGATACTCCACGCACGAAATTAGGGGGCCACTTTTCACTAGGTCTTTTTTCCTCATTCCTCCCCAAGTTAAAATTCTACTGGAGCGCTTTTGAAGGCCCCGCCCCTCTCTCCTTACTCGGGGAGGTGTTTTTCTCCAGAGGCCCCGCCCCCTTCCCCTTGCTCGGAGCGGTGTAGTTCTTCAGAAGCCCCGCCCCCTCGAAATCGACGAACTTTGGCTCCGCCCCTCAGTCCTTCACCCACTCTTACCACCTTGGTCTCATCAAGTCCCGCCCAGCGTTCCTTGTGCCCAGGCCACGCCCCTCCGGGCTCATCCCGCCCCACCCACGTGCGCACTGTCTTGGCCAAGCCTCCCCACCTAGCCCCGCCCCAGCAGCATCCCGGGCCCCGCCCCCACCAGTGCAGAGGCTCTCCTGGGCCCCGCCCCTGTTCACCTGGGGTGCAGACGGTCTCGCAGACCAGAGGGCACAGGTAGCAGAACTGGCAGTGCTGGGGGAAATGAGGGGACGAGAGAGAATAAGCGGCAGGGCGTGGTGAGGGGTGGAGTTCAAAGTCCCAGCCGAGCTCAGGATTGGGGCTGCACGGGGTCAAGTCACCACCACTAGGAGTAAGGGTTTAGGTCGGTTTGGGGTCAGGCTTCACGATCAAGCACTGGGGTTCCTCAGATGGTCCCGGGCCACCCGGTGGAGCCGCCTTAGGGGGTGGTCGCACCTGGCACTGGTCACAGTGTTCGTCCATGTTCTCCTCGTCACAGTGACATTTCTCACACTCAGTGCATCTCTGGGGACAGGAGGAGCCCGGTTAGACACGAAGCCTAACCCCATGTGGGAGGCAGCCGAGAACCCACCCCTGCCCCCTGGACGGTTCCTGAGACCCCCTCACTTTCATGACCTCCAACACTGAGCTGGGTCTTCCCCCTAAACCTGCCCTTCCTCCAGGTTCCCGGGGAGGTGCTCACACGCCCTAATCACAGAGCTGAACCTTTTTGTCCCCTGCGTCTGGACCACCACCCCAGCCTGCTGACCTCATCTGTCCCTCACACGGCCTCAGAAAGGTCTGTCTGCACCCAGAGCTGTCCCTGCACCCCTCCCTGGCTCAAGAGCCCTCCCACGGCACTCCAGGGCCCCTGGGGCAAATTCTAGGGACAGCTTGGTGGGTGGATCTGGGCTAGGGGCACACCTTGCAGAAGGAGCAGTAGCCACACAGGGACCCTGGTTGGTAGTTGCCAAACTCCTGGGCATCTTGCGCACCTGTGGAGACAGGAGGTCAGCAGTGCCTTGGTCTGACCCAGCTCCTCCTCACCCCCACCCGGCTGGGCCCCTTACCTGTGTCCTCACCACTCTCCTCTTCACTGGACATGTCTCCAGCCCCCTCCCTACTGGCCAGTGGGTTGGGAATGATAATGAAGGAAAGCTCCTCTTCCTCCAGTCCCTCCTCCTCCTCCTCTTCCTCTTCCTGGTGGTCTTGGCCCAGTGGAGCCCGAGCCTCAGCTGTCTCGTTTTCCTCCTCCTCCTCCTCCTCCTCCTGGCTCAGGCTGAGGCCATGGCCTTCCTCCTCATCATGCTCACCCTCTTGGTGCAGGCTGCCATGGTGGGCACCTTCTCTCTCCTCTGAACCTTCAACATCTTCTTCGTGGGAACCATGGTCTTCCTTGTCTTCTTCCTCCTCAGAATCTGTCTTCCTTAAATAGCTTGTATCCTTGTGTTCTAGGGGCTGGTGGCTAAGCTCTTCTTTGATGGACCTTCTGTGACCATGGCCAGTCCCTTCATCTCCATGGCTTTGTTGTCTGTGGCTGGGAGTGTGATGGCCAAGCTCAGCAGAGACGTCTTCATCTTCCTCGGGGACTCGGTAGTGGTGATGACCAAGGACTGCTTTCTTATGCTCTTCTGGGGAGCCCTCCTCCTCGTCACTTTTGTGGCCTTGGGGTTGGTGGCTTGGAACATGGTGGCTGAACTTGACTGTGATTGCTTCCTCCTCTTCTTCATCTTCCTCCTCATCTCCAAGGCCATGGTGGCCATGTCTGGGACTGTGAGGCCAGTGTTCGGTGAACATGTCCTCATCTTCCTGGTCTCTGTGGCCTTGTTGCTTGTGGCTGGTAACATGGTGGTGATGTTCATCTGAGACATCTTCATCTTCCTCATTCCTATAAACATGATGCCTGTGGGCATGGTGCCCATGTTCACTGGAGACAATATCATCATCATCATCTTCTCCTTCTTCTTCTTCTTCTCCTCTGTGGACTTGGTGCTTGTGGCTGGTAACATGGTGGTGTTCATCTGAGACATCTTCATCATCTTCATTCCTATAATCACGGTGCCTGTGGGCCTGGTGCCCATGTTCGGTGGAGACATCATCATCATCATCTTCTTCTTCTTCTTCTCCTCCTCCTCTGTGGCCTTGGTGCTTGTGGCTGGTAGCATGGTGGTGGTGTTCATCAGAGACTTCTTCCTCACCTTCATTCCTGTGACCACAGTGCCTGTGGGCATGGTGCCCATGTTCAGTGGAGACATCACCTTCTTCTTCTTCTTCTCCCCTGTGGCCTTGGTGCTTGTGGCTGGTAACATGGCGGTGGTGGCCACTGGAGATGCCCTCATCATCTTCACTGCCCCGGCTTTGGTGCCCACAGACCTGGTGCATATTCTCCATGGAGACATCATCATCTTCTCCTCTGTGGCCTGGATGCCTGTGACTGGAGTCATGGTGGTGGTGTTCGTCTGAGATACCCTCTTCATCTTCATCCTTGTGGCCGTGGTGCCTGTGGGCCTGGTGCCCATATTTATTGGAGACATCATCTTCTCCATCATCTTCTTCATCATCATCTTCTTCTTCTCCATGATGGACATGCCTGAGGATTTGAGGGTGGTGGTCGGCAAAGGCCACCTCATCTTCATCCTCATCTTCATGACTGTGGCTCCTGTGTCTGGGGACATGGTGCCCGTGTTCAGTGGAATCATCCTCATCCTCATCTCCATGGCCTCTGTGCCCAGGGACCTCCCGAACATGCTCCGTGAAGACCTCCTCATACGAGACATTCTCATCCCCGACCTCGTGGCCTTGGTACCTGTGGCCGTGGACTTGGTGCCCGTATTCACTGGAGATATCTTCGTCCTCATCTCGGTGTCCTCTGTGGCTGTGAAAGTGATTCCCGTTCTCCGTGGAAATGCCCTCATTGCCATCTCCACGGCCTCCATGCCTGTGGACGTGGTGGCCAGCCTCAGCTGACGGGTCCTCTGAGAGCCCTGAGCCTCCTGCGTTGTTGTTCCAGTTGCTGGGGCCCAGGCTGGCCCCTCTCAGCTGCTGGGTCACGGCTGGGGGGAGGAGCAGGCTGGCCACAGCCACCCAGAGGAGGGAAGCGTGCAGCCATGACCCATGGTGGCCCATGGGGACGGAAGGGCAGGCGAGCGTCTCTTGGCACTGGCTCCAGCTACCCCTGTGGCTGTTGGACGGATGTTGGGGTCCCTTCCTCCCTTAGGCTCTCTCTCTTTCTCTATGTCTCCCCTTCTTTTTGTGTCCCCCTGTCTCTGCCCGTCTGCCTTCCTCTGGTCCTCTCTGCCTGACTCTGGACACCCCTCTGAGGTCTGCAGAGCCCCATGACCCCCCTCTGGGCCCTCCCTCCCCATGCCCCAACCAATAGGGTCTCTCCCCTCCCCTCTCTGCGGCTAAATTTACTCTCAGTCCCGAGTTATTCTGGGCCAGTCTCCCTCCTTTCCTCCTCTTCCCAGCTGGGGGTGGGTGGCTGGGTGGGCAGGTGGAGGGGGTCTCTCCTTGGCCAGAGGAAGGGAGTCAAAGGTCTTGGCTTTGGGCTGCCAATAAGTTCACATTCCGCATCTGGGAAGATAAAGGCTAGACTTGTAGGTGGCCAAGGTGAGGGACCTCGCAGAAAGGATGTATCTGAGGGGAAAGATGCCTATGAAGGAAGGGTCAGGGGTTGAGTTGTGAGGCATTACCGGTTGGAATGGGATACTTCGGGGGAGAGGGCGGTGCCAATATGGAGACCCCCGGAAGGGGCAGAAAGGAACCCTGCCCCCAACTGACATCCCCATGATCTCCATTCCCTGGAACTCAGATCTGGGGGCAGGGGAAGCGGCCAGGCCAGGGCTATAAATACAGCGGGGGCGGGGGCTCAGGTTACAGAACCACAGCTGTCCCCATCACTGGGGGAGCAGGCAGGGGACACGTGGCCGCTCTCTGGGTATCAGGATCTTCTCAACTTGTCACTATTGTCCTCTCTCTTTGGGGCTCCACCCCTTTGGGGCTCTGTCTTCTCGGCCTCTTGGTTTTTGTCACTCCCTCCCTTAGGGTCCCTGTTCTGTGCCCCCAGCTCCTCCAAGACTGTCACGCTGGCGATCTCAAGTCTTTGGCTCCCACCCTGGTCTTTGGCGTCCCCCCTCTCTGGGTCATTGTGACTCGCCCCATTACTGTTCCCTTCTCTCTGGGTCTCTGTCCCCCCCACCCCACCCCCATCCCAGTCTCTGTCCCAATTTCTTTCTGGGTCTCCGTCCCCTTCTCTCTGGGTTTCTGTCCCCTTCTCTCTGAGTCTTTGCCCGTGTCTTTCTGGGTCTCTGTCCCTTTCTCTGTGTCCCTGCCCCTCCCCCGTCTCTGTCCCACCCTCTGAGTCTCTGCTCCCCCCCGCATCTCTGTCCCCCCCTCTCTCAGTCTCTGTTCCCCTCTTTCTCTGAGTGTCTGTCCCCTCCCGTGTCTTTGTTCCCCCCTCTGAGTCTCTGCCCCCCTCTCTCTGGGTCCCC